TTACTTCATTAAGCATTATTTCGTACAAGTCTTTCCAAGTTTCCATGAATTCCTCACTCATCATTTTTTATGATGCATTAGTGCTGTCCACTCCATTTTATAGCTGGAGAAACTGAGGCCAGAGAGTAGAAGTGACTTACTAAAGGCCTTATAGCTAGTGAGTCATGGTAGAGACCAGACTTGAGTCTAGGTCTACTGATTTCATTAAAGCAATTAATTTATTTATTAACAATATTATATTAACAATTATATTAACAATAAAACCCTACTTATGTCCCATGTAGTATGTTTATAAAGTACTTCCACATACGTTTTCTCTCTCAAACCATACAACACCCCCCCCCCCAATGAGGGAGGCAGAGGAAGGTTTATTTTCATTGCTTTAAAGAACAAAGTGGAAATCAGAGAGGTTAGGTAATTTAATTATGGTCACACAGCTCACTCTAAATCCAGCCTTGTTTCTGTTAAGTTGCTCCTGACAGACAGAAACCTTTTCTTTTCTCTTTAATTTATTTACTTTTAGTTGTCAACAATCACTTCCATAAGCTTTTGAGTTTTAAATTTTCTCCCCCTCCCTCCTAACTCCCCCCCAGATGGCATTCAATCTGATATAGGCTCTACATATACATTCCTATTAAACATGGACAGAAGCCTTTTCGAGGAATTCATTTCAAAGTCCCATACTAAGTTAAATATTAAAATATTAGTGAAAAGGCGTATGTATGCTGGGGTTTCCAGTCAAGACCAAGGCAGATGTGAGAAACTGAGTGAAATAGTCTAAAATCCCATAGCCAATGAGTGGCAGAGCTTAGGATTTGAGCCTATGTATTTTTTTAATATATTTATTTATTTATTTAAATTTTTCCCAATTACATGTGAAAAAATAAACATTTAAAAAAAATTTGGGTTCTAAATTCTCTGGAGAGGGGAGCTGAGTACAACGGTCTCTGCCACTTAGATGACCTTGGACAAGTCAATCCTACTTATCCTGCTGGCCTATAAAGTTGTCATGGGGATGAAAGGGGATCATAGGTATGATGAGGTGGGGCCTGGGTAGGGGCAATGAGTACCCTGAGACCTGCCTTATCATCCAGAAGCTTAGCTTGCCATTCAGTCTTAACAGAGATAGAAAACAGCTGTGAGGCAACTAAATAAGTTAAATGCCTAAATAAGTAGTGGTGGGGATTAAAGGCTAGAGAAATGTTCAGCTGAGAACAATCAGCCTGGACTGGCATGATCAAGGAAGCTTAATGGGGGAAAGGAAATTTGACCTAAGGATGCCAAATCAATTCAGTCCATTAAGCAAAAATTATTAAGTGCCAGATGTAGATATGGAACTATGCTCGACTCTAAAAGTATAAAGACAAAACAAAACCCTGCCCTTAAGGAGTCATCATCATCATCATCATCATCATCATTATCATCATCATTATCATTATTGCATTTATACAGCACTTTAAGGCTTTCTAAACACTGTACAGACATTGTCTTATTTTGTTCTCATAACAGCCCTAGGGAATAGGTGCTATTATTCTCATTTTATAGATGAGGAAACTGAGGGAGGCATAAGTTAATCATTGATTTTACACAGCCAGTAAATGTCTGAGGCTGGATTTGAACTCGAGTCTTTCTGACAGTAGGTGTGATGTTCTTTCCACCAAACCTCATCTTACTTCTTGGAGGAAGGGTTTAGATCAGTGAGGAGATGGGTGCAGGGTCTTCCAGGGAAACGGAAAAATTTGTGAGTAGAGGGGCAGTAGATAGCTGTCCTTCTTGGAGGGAATTGCTCATACATAAGGGAATAGTGAGAGATGAGAGAAGACGAAAGGTTTGGTTGTGGTCAGATTGGAGAGGTCTTGAATGCCAAGTACAGGAGTTATAGGATTACGGATTTAGAGGTGAGGGGTGGGGGAAGGGAACCACAGAGGTCATCTTGTCCAGTATATTTATTTGATTGACGAGAGGTTAAGGAGCCAAGCCTCAGGTCAGAGGAGATAACAGAACTGAGATGTAAACCCAGCTACCCTGATTCCAAATCCAACGTTCTTTGGCAGGCAATAGGGAGCTAGCAAAAGTTTAAACAGGGTAGC